GGATAAGTTACCCAAACAGCTTCTGGCAATAGTTCACCTGATGAGATCTTGCTTCGAAACTCACTCTTCTTTTCTCGCACTAATTGGAGGGTATCATTTGTGATTCGGACTTGAAACGTTTTTCTGGCGTCACTGTCCGTTTCCTCTCGAACAAAAAGCTCTATAGATTCCAGATACTGAAGAAAGAGAAGGATCAAATGAGCATCTGCCTCAAAACTTTCAAATAACGTGTGCACCTTTTGGGTTGTGTATAACGTTTGCGATAGCTTAGATGGTTCTCTCCTTAAAGGGAAACGAAACAATGTCCCATTATAGGATCCCTGTTTGAAGGTGTCCTCTGTACAATCGAGTATCTCTTTGTATGGCTGAAACTGGTCAGGGATACTGTTTATGATGTCTCGGTCTTCTTTCAATCGCCACCTGTGACCGGTTCGTTTGCCACTCTCGTCGCTGAAGTACTTTTCATGCGGATCAATCACTCCGATCTGCGAACCGCTTACGATACTTGGTAGATCTGAAAACCACCACAAATAATTTTGTCGCATTTCAACAATAAAATGTCTGAACACATCTTTACGATATCGGAGAAAAATTGTTGCTTTTCACAATACCAGGCAACCATAGCAGAGATAAAAAGCCATAAAGGCTATAAATGTACATGCAAGGATAGCATATGCATGATGTTACATTCAAGTATGACAGGTTTCCTCTTCGGCTAACACTTCGATTTGCCATTGATCAGCGAAAAAGAAAAAGCACTCGCCTGAAAAATCCCAAAACTTAAAGCGCCGCCAAAATTTACCACCTTCCGTCAAATGGCAAAGTTCTCCAGTGAATCTGTTGTCTATAAGTATTCTTCGTATTCCAAATGAAAATTATGAACTGGTAACTTTGGTTAACTTCTGTTCAAACTTAAGGAGTGATCGCCGACTCCCAAGCCAGAGTCTCACATGAAATAAGCATAAAATATGTCAACAAATACTAAATGATATGAAAATACTCTAAATTAAAACTCGTTTAAAGGATTCGTTCAGAGTATTTATCTGTGAATATCTATGAATATTCATAGCTGAACACTCTGAGAAAAATTGCACCATTTCATGAATTACTCCTTGTTTTGTAATGCTGCTGTGACAAAAAGGTTTCCGAAATAAGTTCCCAGCAGAAATTAAATCAGTCATCTCTAACAGGAAAAGTTTGTTCTTGCAAAACTCACAAAGTCGTCAATCACCTAAACAGAAAAAGCTGCGGTAATTTTTTTTTTCCAGACGGTTAATATAATGAAAAAACGTCTTGGAAACATTCACGTTAGGGTCTGAGAACATAGCAATTCAAGAGACTCACCTGTCATATGAAAAACAGACTTAAAGCCAAGACCGAAACGGCCAACTTTCATTGGGTCTTTGACTTTAATACTATCACACAACATCCGTATGCCCTTCCAGTCATCTTTTGTAAACTGAGCGTCAT